CCGTTTTTCTATTCATGACAATGAGGACATTCTGTTTAGGGGGTTCATGTTTTGATGGCCGTTCGAGAGGTGTCTCTTGGCTAGTGAGCAAGTCTTTGAAGACTGCGTGTACTCTTATCTTCGCAGATCCGGCGGGCAGGCTTTGCGTGCTGGATGTTACCATAAAGGATAAGGATCTTCGTCTCATTGGGGTTTATGCGCCCAATGTCCATTCTGAGCGGCCTGCTTTGTTTCGGCAGATCGAGCCGTTTTTGACGACATCTCGTCGGGTAGTTTTAGCGGCGGATTGGAATGTCGTCCTTGACCCTGATATAGATCGTATAGGGCCAAATTCGGGTACTAACAACCGGGACGTGAAACCAATTCGGGACTTTATCGACAGGTTTGATCTTGTTGATAAGTACCGGAACGAGCACCCTCGGGAGGTAGTTTGGACTTGGACAAATAGGGGCGGCTCGGATGCTGGGGCTATTTCTAGCTACCTCGACCGAGTCTTAGTTAAGAGAGTCGATGTAGGGCTCTTAGGGTGTCCAAGTTTTCATTATATAGTTTATACGGACCATAAGCTTGTCCGAGTCCGTGTAAACTTAGATAAACCTAAGGTTAGGTTGGCTGAATACTGGAAATTAAACTGCTCACTATTTGGTGAGAAGGATTTCCGGGAAAGATGCTACTAATGATACAAAGGGAATTGAGGGGTGCACTTGTTGGGAATGCCTCGTGGGACAATTTAAAATTAGAACGTTTGCTGTTGATTTTAGCCGTCGACTCAACCTAGATACATTAGAGGCGCAAACGGCTTTAGAGCAAAAAGTAGATCGGGTAGTGAAATCCCGTGATAGTGGGGAAATAGCCTTAGCTAAGGCAGAGTTGTCCTCCTTGCTTATCAAGAAGGATCAAGCTCTGGTAGTTAGGGCTAGGTTAAAAAGAATGTCCTCTGAGGCTTCGAATATGGCCGCTGACTTGCGCGCAGAGGAGTCTCGGAATGCATCTCGGCGACATATCGCGTGCTGGTTAAGCGGACGGTGACTTCAAACGCGGGCATATGTGAGGCTTTTCGTGATTACTTTCAGGAACTTTTCACCAGGGAGCCCGGTCTGAGCCCTGCTCAGTTCGACGCCTATTTAGCCGACTTCCCCTGTCTTGAGGCAGCTGAAGCGGCTGGGTGCGAGGGTCCCATCACAGAGTCGGAAATCTGGGAAGCGTTGAAACAGGTTGGCCGGGATAAATCTCCGGGATTAGATGGTCTTCCGTACGAAGTTTACTTGAGGCAGTCGCCCGTTTTTGTTCCTTTGCTGGAACTGATTTTCAACAACTGGATGAAGCAGGGGTCTATACCTCAGCGCTTCACCAGGGGTGTGATCAAGTTGCTACGCAAGGACAAGAACGGTGGGGATGGGATAGGTAATTTTCGCCCTTTAACTATGTTAAATACAGAGTTAAAGATTTTGGCAAAGATTTTAGCCAACCGTTTGCAGGCTGTCCTGTCTAGTCTGATTGGCTCCGAACAGACTTGTGCTGTGAAGGGTAGGACTATTCAGGACAACCTTCATATGGTACGCTTGATCATTGAGAAAGTCGACAGTGAAGCCGCGCTGATCAATTTAGATCAGTCCAAGGCCTTCGATAGGGTTGACCATCGATTCCTGGAGGCTGTCCTTTCAGCGGCCGGTTTCGGTCCGTACTTTCGCACCTGGATCCGACTTCTGTATGCGACCCCCGGTGCGCTGGTGGAAGTGAATGGGGTACGATCGGAGCCTTTCGTATTGTCTCGCTCCATTCGTCAAGGTTGTCCGCTTTCGCCTTTGCTTTACGTTCTTGCGTTGGAACCTTTCCTTCGCAAGTTAAAGGCGAATCCGGTCCTGCGCGGAATTACCCTGCCTGGGGCTACCACCTCGGTCAGGTATTCTGCATTTGCTGATGAGGTTTCGGTTCTTGTGTCGAGCAGAGCCGAGATTGACGAAGTCAGCAAAGAAATCAGTGGTTATGAGATGGTGACAGGGGCCAAGATCAACCGCGATAAGTCTGTTGGCTTGCGGTTGGGTGCGTGGAAGGGAGTTTCTCTTCCCGGACCTTTCCTCTGGACGGATGGGCCGATCAAGATACTCGGCGTCTGGTTCGGCCATGATATCCAGTTGGAAATGAATTGGTCGGAGGTACGAGGGAAGGCTGAAATTGCAAATAATTTGTGGTCTCGGAGGAATCTTTCCTTGAAGGAGAAGGCGGAAGTATGTTTCACACATCTACCCGATTCTCTTTTACCGACTCTCTGTACTTCCACTTCCGTATACCACATTAATGTCATTAGTAAAGCTTTTGTTCTCTTTGTTGTGGAGAGGCAAAGCTGCTATAGTATGTCGGGAGATCTGTTGCCTTCATCCATCTGAAGGCGGTCTGGGTATGCCTAGCATTGAGATTCGTCAATATATGCTTCGCATCGGGTTCCTAGATCAAATGTGTCGCGAATCGGATGAGGAGGGCGCCTTCTGGAAGGAAGACGCCCGTAAAACCTTCCCATCCCTGAGAAGTGTGCACTCGTGCGAGGAGGAGGCCCATCATTTGCCCCGAGCCGAATGCTCCTTCTATCGTGAATATCGTATTGCTCTGAAACGTTTCTTATGGGCGTCGGATGGCCTCTCAAATGTCCAGGCGTTGTCTCGTAGGGCATTATATCAAGTGTTAGTCATGGGGGGAGCGTGCGCGATGAACTGATTGACGAGCTCGGTCTTACGAAGCAGGAGGCTCAATATGGCATTGGGCGCCTGGGTTGAAATGCCTCAATAACGATGAGGCATCACTCACCTGGCTGATGATTCGTGGGGCCCTCTGGGTCGCCAAAAGACTTTGTTCAGCGGGCTTGGAGAAATCTCCAAACTGCCGTCGCTGTAGTGGAGAAGTCGAGACCATTGGTCACGCCTTCTTTCATTGCAAGGTGGTAGTGCCGTTGTACAGGTTGTTGAAGGTCTCATGGTTCGCATGCTGCAAGGAAAGTTCTTTGTCCTTGAAGCGAGTTTTGTTTGTAGCAATGTGGTGCCACAGATGACGAAGGCTGAACAATATGTGTTTTTTTTTTTGCTTACTAGCGGTTTTTGAGAGTCGTGATTTTGACGACACGTAAGAAGGAATTCTATGATGGCGAGAGTTCACTTCTTCCCAACTGATCTTGTTCTTTAAGCATCAGCTTAAAGTCAAGATTAGGACAGAAAAGCGGCGGCTCACCTCATCAGAATTTGGCAAAAGGTGCGTGACTCTTGCGCGATTTTGTCGAGTAAAAGGGGGGGGCTGACCTAGAGTGGCATTTTGATGCCGGTTAGGCATCCGGATATTGTTCTTCCTGGGTTGAACTTGGGTAACCCATCCGGAAATTAGGTTAGTGCAGGTTTTGTTATTTGAATCTTTAGTTTTTTTTTTTTTCCTTTTTTTCAGTAAACTTAGCTAGGGTGTGTTTGCTCATTGGCCCCTTTTATTTCTATCCCTGTTTTTTCCTTAGTTTAATTCACCATCTCCTCCCTCGTTGGGTGGTCAGAGATGTCAGTTCTCTGGTGGATGCGGGGCGATTTTCGTTTTTTTTTTTTTTTCGCCTGTGTGTATTTTTCGTTTTTGTTGTTGTGTCTAGATGAGTGCGTGTCTGTGTGAGTGTTAAGGATGAATGAATGTTTTTTTATATTTTGTAGGCCTGCATTGATTTCGTCCAGTGAACTGATGTTTCTGCCACATTTAAGTATTGGGGGGGTACTACTAACAATAATTTTGCTTAGTTTCTTGTAATTCATATTGTATATACTCATTGGGGATCCTTTTAATTTGTTGTTTTATCCCCCCCACATGCGACGATTTGTATATATAGGGAGTATTTAGGATTTTCATTGAGACAATGAGGTATTATGATGGATGTAGTAAGAAAGGCTAGTAAGAATGTGGTGTTTTAGTGTTAGGAATATTGTTTGTATGCTTGGGTCAGTGCTTGTGGCTAGCTAAGTTTAAATTAAGACAGATGAAGACCGTCCTTTTCCCCATTCTTTGTTATTCTACTCTTGTGTTCGTGTTGTTCTTCCTTGGTTCTAACCTTGGACCATAACTGTGGTGCTAGGATATTGGACCATAACAGATATGCTGCTTAAATACACACACACACACACACACACACACACACACACACACACATGTATATATATATATATATATATATATATATATATATATATATATATATATATGCACTACAATTCAAAAGTTTGAAGACACCACCAAAAGAGAGTAAATAGGCTGAAGAGTGAAAAAATAAAAGAAAAAGAGCTCTTAGAGTCACTAAAAAAGTATAGAGCGGATTATCAATCTTATACTTTGAGAAACTTTGTAACGAATGGCATAACTTTGTGTTGCGGTAATCAAGGCTAAAGGAGGATATTTTGACGAGAGCAAAATTTAATCATAAAATTGTTTTTTTTTCCTTTTTGTTATAATAAAATTTCTGTAAAAACATGTCACACTTTCTTTTAATGACGTATAGTAATTTTCGCTTATTTAAAGTACAAAACAACTACGTTTTTGACAATTTAAAAAATGACAAGGGGTTGCCTCAAATTTTTTAACTGCAGTGAATATATATATATATATATATATATATATATATATGTGTGTGTGTGAGTGAGAGAGAGAGAGTAAGTGGGAGAGACAGAGGGGTGGAGTGAGAGAATAAAAATACAGTAAATCCAGTTTTTACTAATGCTTTTTATCGGGTTCCCTTGCCGATTTTTCCTGCGTCTCATGTCATGTTCTGTGATATGATTTGTCAAATGAACTTTTCGCGAAAACATCCAATATTATCACCACCATTACCATATCTCTTGCGTTAAGGCAAGTTCATTGTGATTTCCGCCACATGCCAACGTGATATTAGTTTTACGTGGATGAAGGACTGTCATTTCTATTTGGAAGAGCAATGACGCACAAAGTAAGACAGATTTAACTATTTCGAGTTGAGAAGGCTGATTCTCTAGATTCTGCATTCAACCATCTATCTATCTATCTATCTATCTATATATATATATATATATATATATATATATATATATCTCCGTCTGTTCATATCTATCTATCTATCTATCTATCTATCTATCTATCTATCTATCTATCTATCTCAGTCTGTTTATACCTGCCTAACTACCTATTTATCTATCAGTCTGTATCTATCTATCTATCTATCTATCTATCTATCTATCTATCTATCTATCTATCTATCTATCTATCTCAGTCTGTTTATACCTGCCTAACTACCTATCTATCAGTCTGTTCGTACCTACCTACCTACCTATCTATCTATCTATCTATCTATCTATCTATCTATCTATCTATCTTGTTTAACTTTTTTATTACAGAAATCAATGTTTTCGCAATAAAATATATACAGGGTGTCCCAGAATTAACTATCTGACTTTTTTCAGAAACTCAAAAATACATAAATTTAAGTGTGAAAAACAGAAATAAAAGTGCGTTTCCAAAAAATGCGTTATATATAATAAATTTTTAATTTTGTTTAGAACTTTATATTTTTCATAATTTTGTTTTCTAATTTTATTTTCATTCCCTTTGAAAAGCCTATTAATAATGAATGCACAAGAATGCATCTTTGTTGAGCCCCTGCCGGCTATCATTGCAGGGGGGGCACATAAAAACAAAAGTTTATCGCCAAAAGATCAATAGTTTAACTGATTTTAAAGAACGCATTCCGTTTGCAGTGCTGGAGATAGCTGCTGAAATGCTTCAAAATGTGTTTCGCAACGCTAAGCATAGATTTGAAATTTACAGGGATACAGACGGAGTACATGTTGAAAATTTTCAATAAAAATTTCACGTCAGATTTCGAAATGCATCTGTTTTGTATCATAATAAAGTAATAAACATAACATTATGTCAGCTTTAAAAAAAAAATTGCCTGATTTATGTTTCGCCTTGATGTTAGCCTTCATATGTGCTGCATATTGATGACGGCTTTCATATAAGTTTCGCCTTCATGTTAGCCTTCATATGTGCTGTACCTTGATGACGACCTTTATATGAGTTTAGCCTTGATGTTAGTCTTCATATGTGCTGCATCTTGATGACGACCTTCATAGGAGTTTAGCCTTGATGTTAGACTTCATATGTGCTACATCTTGATGACGACCTTTATAGGAGTTTAGCCTTGATGTTAGCCTTCATATGTGCTGCATCTTGATAACGGCCTTCATAGGAGTTTAGCCTTGATGTTAGCCTCCATATGTCCTGCACGTTCATGAAAGCCTTCATATGAGTTTAGCCTTGATGTTAGCCTTCATATGTGCTTCACCTTGATGGCGGCCTTCATATGTTTCGCCTTGATATCTTCCTTCATATTTGCAGCGACTTGATGGCGGCCTTCTTATCTTCTTGTTTAAATAACCTGCAAAATTTTGATATGCCATAAAATTAAATCAATCAGTCAATCAATTAATCAAATCATATCCAGTGTATTGGTTATACAAAACATAACGACTGCCAGGTGGAAATAAAAATCTTAATAAAACTAACAACGAATAAATCAAAACCCCTCCAAAACAATAGAAGAAAATAGGAAAATGAAACATTGACTAAGAAAAAAAAAAAAGAAACGTTCCACGCAATCGCGATCGTCAGGCGAACAGACCGTCAGGCGTTCTTTGGGAGGGTGAACCTTTGAAATGGTTTAGCGTGAAAATATGCCTAACGGCCATTCGGGACAAAAAGATTGCGATTTATATTTTATTTGTTTAATACTAATATAATATGTGCGCACATGAATTTCTATGATATTCACTTCAAGATACCATCTCCTGTAGTGAATGATATTTTATTTAATGCGGGCTGTTTATTTTTTATAATAATAACTTCCAAGGTTTTGAGTTTTTCCTTACATTGGGTCTTGTAGAATATTTTGTTGTTATCCTATAATATTTGTCTTATTTTGATACTTTATGCTGGTCGTGCATGATATGTTGGTCGATGTGCGCACATGGATTGTACTGAGCTTCGGCAGGTGACAAGTCAATCTGCGAGAGAATGTGGTGCATATGTGACCAATGTAAGTATTTAATGTTGACTTGTGATTATTAGTGTTGAAGATGCAATATCCCGGGGTAGTGGGGGCAAGAAAATATTATTTTTACATAGATGTGGTTTATGAGTCTAGGTGTTGTTTGTAACAATTAAATTACATGTTTTAAACTACCAAAGAATACCAGGATGTAGACAAAGGAATTCTAAGTACCACACAGACATCACATCGTTTCTTCCTAATAAATACAAAAGTCGAAAGAACAGCAAAAAAAAAAAAAAAAAAAAAAAACAACTTCGGACTGTTTATCCATAACTTCGAGCGAAATATTCAACACCTTATCCGAAAATTAGAAAAATCTAATATAATAACGCAGCAGACAGACATTGTCGGTTCTTTTTAATCAAACTTATTTAGATGAATACCTTTGTTCTAAATATATCATATAACATGTAACAGCAAAATTGTCCAATTGTTAGATTAAGTTTTGAACCGTTGTATCTTAGAAATGATTAAAGATATCTTACTGGAATTCTCCGATGTTTTTATAACACTATTGAACTCAACTTTGAGCAATAAGAATGTATAATTACTTTTCTAGCTTAACAGAAAAATCGTGATGAAATCGATCATAAAGGAAAATGGTATGTTCATCATTAATTAATGTGGTGAACAGCCACGTAGAAGCAAGCAAGCCAAAGTGGCTTGCATCTGGTGTATAGGAAAATAAGGATCTTACCATAACGTGCGGAATGTGACATCAGCAAGTTTGCTTCGTGAAAATGGCAAATTTAAGCTACAATTAATCATCAGATCAGAAGCTCATGACGCATTGAAATAAAACTCACACACACAAACATATTTATATATATTATTCCAACATCATTTTATAGCTCATTGAAGATGATCTTCGTCCACTCTAACATTCTAACTTTCTATCCTGGAGTGACAAGGTGCCTCACAGATTTCACGTACGATTTAATTTTCAAGTCTTTATACACTGCTCTTTGGACTGTCATAGCCAAAACTCAAAAGTTTTATGGATTGAGTTGGATCTTTTCTAATTGATCTCTTTATCTCAATGTTGAAATGATGATCCCACTTCCTGTTGTGATCTCCTGTTCAAGTTTTTCTCACTACAGTTACCATATTTTTAAACTTATTCACTGTTCTCTTAATGGTTCTTGAATGGACTTTCAAGATGAAACCCAGAGTATAAATTCTGCTACTATTACTGAAGGCTTTAATGATCTTTTTCCTCTCGCCATTGTTCAGTTGGGAAAACTGTAGTGCTGACACAAAAGGATTTTAACCCGTTCCCTTTATAGTTGAATAACTCAAAGGGGTCTTTGTTGATTCTTACGATAAACGGTGTCGAGATGGCTAAACGTCTTATCTGAGAAACTGGAAAAAGATAGTTTAATGTTTTTTTAGATATTAAACATTTTGTGGGATGGACAAATATGCTGCAACACGAATTGGACATTTATGCTGTTACACCCGTATAAATATATATATATATATATATATATATATATATATATATATATATATATAAAGGTAGAAAAATTTAGTTTTAAAGGTATTCTATATTAATGGGTAAAAGCGCTAAATATCGTGATATTGTAAACGAAAAATTGTTCGCACACGGAGATCAAATCCAAGTGGCGACAGTTCTATGTCATGCTTGAACGCAGACTTCACGCTATGCGCGTTGGATTTTGGCTCGACTAATTATATATGGTGGTCAGTGGTGCATTATGTGTATCAATGGAATAAGGTCTATTGTATAAAACCTAACAGTTATTCGGTAGACAGTAAGGGTAAAGACAACAGACATAGCCTGAAGATTATATTCAAGCATTAAACACTTGCCGCTTGATGTTGACCCGATGTCTAATTTTACATGTGATAATAAGTTATGTTCCACTGTTTTTTAATTGCAAATAATATTTATAGATAGCTGTATTGTTTTTGTACTTTTCCTTATTCAGGCTTAGTTTGCTGTTGTAACAACTTTTTTTCGACTCTGTCCCTGCGGACCCTACATATTGTTTTTGCTGGTTATCACATGTAATATTAGGTCTATAGATAATATTATTAGTCAATCATTGGCCTTGTAAGGGGCAGTTATTAATTTGGTGGTTACACTTTTTATTATAGTTTTTTTTTCTTCTGTTATTGTATTGTTATTATTATTGTTGAACTTGTTTAATAACTTATTCATACGGTGGGATATTGAGTTTTCTATATTTCTAACGGAGATTAAGTTTATCTGTATGTTATTTTTATTATTATATTATTTTTTGTTTTTTTTTTTAAATGAAATCTTCGTCTGTTTCAATAATAGGTTATTAAAATTAAAAGTGAAATTTTACAAGATTCAAATTTCAGTCAGTACCTGAAGATTACTCGGTGCCTAAAACTCGGAGTTGTATCAAACGGAGAAGAAAAAATATATATTTATTTATGACTAGAATGTTCTGGTTTTTCTATTTAAATATTCTGATGAACTTCAGTTCGTAAATTAATGAATAAGATCACGCAGAGTACTTAGACAATAAAATATCCGGAGTAATTTCTCTATCACATCGTAAATATCTGATCTTAACCTAATCAAATTATTGTAATAACAATCATAAATATAAATTCTTGTTAATATCTGTCTATATTTCGGAGATAAGGTATTATATACATTATTTATATTATTCGGACTATTGTCCTCATCTTTGTCGCCATATTTATTACAACGTTTCGGCTTTTCTGTATCTGTCTATATTTCTGAGATGAGGTATTATGTACATTATTTGGACTATTGTCCTCATCTTTGTCGCCATATGTACGCTCGGGCCTTCATCAGGTGGTTGGAATGTCAAACTGAAGCCTTTATTTCGCTCACTGGGGTAGATTGTTCTAGTTCTACGCGCCATGTTTAATGGGTGTCAGTTATCAGTTATCTCCTGTTAATTTTCCCACTGAAAGTTCTCCACTGCCTTCGCCGGGTATTGAACTCACACTTTTTGTGTTCTGTCACTGGATCTAACCAACGCCTTTGTTCCATGTGTCCCTGAAGACATCTGGGTATGAATTTCTGGGTATTATAAAACTAATGTCTTCAGCAACCATTTTTGCCAGTGCTCAGATTGTAATTTTTGCTGTTATCATTCATGTTTTTACCAGAGCTCATATTGCAACTTTGTTGTTATTATCGCTTTTCTTTGGCACTTCTTATTACTGGTTCCCATATTGTATTACACCATTGGAAAATTCTTAAACTTAAGGAATCAGCAGATATGCTAGGCCACAAAAATCTCCTGATCTGACCAAACATAGAAATAAACACAATAGTATAAATGAAAAAAGATCTGAATTGACAGTGTTGTATCGTGGAGGTGAATGATACACAGAGAAGAATGAGTGCTTAGTATATTCATTCAGCACCAGTACCCGTTGCTAACGGATACATACAAAACAAAACAAAACAAAAAACTCCTCAAAACCAGGACAATAAGTTACAAAACATGTAACAAGAAAATTTACAATGAATAGACGAAGGTCGAATGCTGTATAGGCAAACGAAATAAAATCTGCCCGAATATTAATCAGCTTACTATTAACTTATTAATCAACTGTTGAAGTCCTTAATCGTAGACTATTTAAGGCTATGAGCCAGGCCATCTGGTAGAGTGCTGAAGGGGTGTTAGCTACTCTACAACAGAGAGCTTTCTTCATTTAAATGAAACTGTCGTTAAACACTTTTATATTCCCTTCTGTCTTTCAGCAATTTTCTCAGTGATGCCAAGTGGTGGGTCTAATATGTATTATCTTCTAATATGAAATCAAAATGGAGCAGACAGTTATTTATTAGGCATTGACGGGAGATATTAAACACTTCTTTCTTTCTTTGTTTCTTTCTTTTTTTTTCTTTGTTTCTTTCTTTCTTTCTTTCACTGAAATCAAATTGTGTCCTTTCTCCTCTTTCCAACGATCATAACGGAATAGTCAAGGGCGTAACGGTCGTTCGAACTGACGAAGAGAGTGACAGGCACAATTATAAAAGCATAGTATATATATATATATATATATATATTGCTTAAAATATATGTGAAGAGTTTCCAATATCATAGATATTACGTATATCTATAAATGCATTATGAAATTAGAGAACAAAAACTTATGGTAATTTTATTTTCCCGTCTCAAGCGAATTTCAGACTAGTCAATATGCAGTGTTGAAAGCATCTATCTATCTATCTCAGTCTGTTCGTATCTATCTATCTATCTCTATCTATCTATCTATCTATCTATCTATCTATCTATCTATCAGATTTTTCCTTTCCATCACATTCTGATATCCTTTTCGAAAGAAAAACAAACAGAAATGGTTATCCATAAATATTTGATTTCATAATGAATAAAGATTGAGGAAATTCAAAAACAAATTCAAGATCATCGGGTAAACTGAAATTTATGACATTTTATAGAATCCAACAAATTCGATGAAATATTGACGACCAGCATTTATCAAACTCAAGGAGATCTTTAAAAAATTTTGAAATTGAGTAAATTGAATTTTTTTTTTTTTTACAAAAGATGATCAATTTTTCCTTAAATTATTAATTGGCATAGAAATAAAAACGACATTTTTATACAAAGGAATAAAAAAACGTTTCTCTTTACTAAACGTTAACTTTTTTTTATCCATTTTGACATTATCTGCGATTCTGCAAGAAAATCTTATATCAAAGTCTAAACTGAAAATCCAAAGATCTAGGATCATGGTGAATTGCCTATATAGTAAGTTTCTTCTATTGTAAATTCTCCAAATTTGGCAATATGACGACAATGGATCTTCATTATCAACATTTTGAATGAAAGAATAATGAAAATATAATCAAACATGCTTTCATTTCATCAAGTGTCATTCTTCCGAATAGAAATGCAAATTAACATTTAATAAAGACACTCAGGAGATTTTGAAATCATTATTGGGTTTCAAGGTCAACCCTATGGAAAGCATATATATCATTTGGGAGTAATATAACGGGTGTAACAGCAAAATTGTTCAAATAGTGTAACAGCATATGGTGATTGTCCATCCCACAAAATGTTTGAAAAACCACTGAACTAACTGAATGTCATTTTTCCAGGTTTTTAGATAAGACGTTTAGTCATCTTGAAAACATTTTTCGTAAGAAACACTGTAAAAACCTTTGAGTTATTCAACTAGAAAGAGGACAGGTTAAAATTGTTTTGTGTCAGCCGCATTACGTCTTCCCAACTGAACAATGGTGAGAGGAAAATGATCATTCAGGCCTTCTGTAATGGTAACAATATTTATACTCTGGCTTCCATCTTCAAAATTCATTCAAGAACCATCAAGAGAAATGTAAATAAGGACACAATTCAATTTTTCAACTCTTAACAGTATTAACTACGAACAAGGCCACAATGTGCTAACCATATTCGGAAATTGAAAACATCTCTACAACACACTAAAACATACACATAATGCAGACACTCAATTAAGTTGAAAAATTGAATTATCCTTGATAATGGCTAAAGGTATATCCGAAAGCGCTCGGAACTATAAAAGACTAGCAGCATGGCCCGGCGTGCCCGTGCTTGATTCAAAAATCGTACGACTCATACAGTAATCGACATCACTTGACTTAAAATATTTTTGACCTTCCTTGCATTTAAAGGAGTGCCCTTTGCCGTGCTGATGTTGCTACATGCCTTACTTCTTGCCTATCTCACACTGCGAATTTTTTTCTAAGCTCTATACTAAACATTAAATCTGTTACGAAAAAAAGAACTAAACAAAATGAACACAAAACTATCAGCTTTAAAAAAGGACTCGTAACTGGAAAACCGAATGAAAAAAAAATGTTAACAACAAATACTTTTTCACACCCAACCCAGTTCGGCGGAATCAGAATCAACGTTGAGTTTAAGCAAGCGAATGAGCCAATTGGAGTAAAGTGCCATGCAGATTTAAATTTTCCCACTTGTGACGAATGCAGCTATCGATTTTTTTTTTTTGCATGCTAGCATGCTAGTTAACATTCATGTCAGTCAGCTGTTGGCTCTCACACTGGCCAATAGAATCTTCCTGCCTATTCGTGGCAGCCAACTATTGGCTCTCACTCTGGCCAGTAGAAAATGGCCGCAACCTACATGAAAACTGCTGCAGAAGCATGAAAAAATCGATTATTTCCACTATCGATGAGATTTGGAAATGCAATGTCGGTCTTGGCCTTCCCACTAACTTGGAGCATGTGCATGTAAATTTTGGTTCAAATCCGTCGAAAATTGCGGCCGTGCATTCGTTACGCAAACACACACACACACACACACACATACACATACACACGTAGCCTGCCTTTTATAGATAACGATTTGGTCAGTTTTTACACACTCTTTGTCCAGGAAAGAAAGTTCTTGTTCGAACACATGAAAAATTAAATAAAAAGCTTAACCGTAGTACCTTGTCTGTCGTTTTGATGAAACATGCATAAACGAAAGATTGCTGCCGAAATATACAACACGCACACACACACACACACACACACACACACACACACACACACATATATATATATATATATATATATATATATATATATATATATATATATCATTTGCTGTAAAAAAAAAAAGCTGTGAAAATGGCGAACATTCAGTCGATACATGAAGTATTCGACTCCATCTGCCAGTCTTTACCTTCGAAAAGAGTGCATGGCTGATATATGTGAGCGGAAGCTGGTCAGTCTTTATTTTCATCTCTGATAGAGTTCAAAATCTGTTGATGTGGTCTTATAGAGGAAGATATATTCCCCACTTTGCAGTCTCTTTTCTAAGGACGCGACATTTCAAGTTTGTCGATTCTCTATCACTATTTCCATGAAAAATATAAATACTTTAAAAAAAATACGGGAACAGATGAAAAAAAGATTTATTCAAATCCTTTTTTTAAACCTTTGAGCCCCGAGTTCTTGAAAAATTTTAAACCTTCTGCCTGAAAATTCGCAAATAATTGGTATGTAGGCAGAGTATTTCAAGACAGCGAATGTTGGACGATCACCTCAAAGATGAAGAAGAGACTCGAGGCAACAGTGGTATGGTTCTACAGAAGGATGTTAAGGATATCATGGGTGTGGGTGCAACGATGAGGTTTTGAAGAGGATGAAAATAAGGAGGAAGCTTATACTTAACATCAAGAAAAGGTAGCTGAAATTTCCGGAACAAGTAATGAGAAAAAATTAAAAACCCACCTTGCTTACGGACAAATTACCGTTGATTCGGCTGTGAGACCTCATCCTCCTGGGCGTTGACCTCAGTCTTGAAATCCGTCCGTTTAATGGCTGTATTCAAACAAGGGGGAAGCTTATAATTAACATCAAGAAGAGGCAGCTGAAATTTTTGGGACAAGTAATGAGAAAGGAGGGCTTCGAGAATCTGATACTCACAAGTCGAATAGAGGGTAAGAGAGACAAGGGAAAGCAATGTATGACATACCTAGAGGGCTTAGGCAAGTGGATTACAGAATATGGCCTGGTGGGGAAATAGCAAAGGGACAAAACATATTGAGAGCTACAAGAGATAGGAGGAAGTGGAGAGCCATGATCATCTACGTCCTGAAGGGACACGGCACATAAAATGAAAAGAAATATTTCACGGTAGATTATACTTAACGGAGAGAGAATATGATTGCATGCCTTGTCCCTGATTGCTTCCCTGACGTTGAGACTCTATACACTTCATGGTAAAAACGATTTTTTTTTATCCAAAACACATGCACAAAACACAATGAAAAGGCTCGGACATGTTGATATGACATTAGACATCATCAGAATATTCCGGCTTTTCTGATTGGCTCTTCAAAATAAAACATTCAATAGCAAAACCCACCGTCATTTTTCTCTACCACTGTTGAACCGGTAGCTGGGCATTACGTCATTTTTCTCTACCACCGGTAAAGCGGTAGTCAGGGCTCAAAGGTTTAATAAAATGTGTAAGTTTTGTGTAAACTTTGAGGATACATATTTATATAAAAATAGAATATTTAGTGACTGTAAATCTCTTTGTCATATTTTATCATGCAACTTAATGTTTTCATAATAAATCAGGTACCAATAAAATGTTGGAAAGGTTTTCCAGGTATATTTAAATGAAATAATAATATAAGTTTCCACGGGACATAAAGTACAGGATCTGTTTTGTACTTATTTTTCTACTTTACTTTCTGGATTCCACGAGTGTTATTATTTTCCATCTTTTGGTCATTATCAAGATCGAAGAAAAATATACTTAAACAAGGAGAGTTAACTAAAAATATTCTTTGCTGGCAATTTTTAATCAAACTTTGAGCCCTGCGTTCCTGAACAGTTTTAATTCTTCTGCTTGAGTTCTTGGGTCAAAATTCGTAAATAATTGGTGTGTAATGTTTCACGGTAGATATAAAAAAATACAAGTGTTTACACCCGTTCAACCGGTGGCTGGAGATTAAGTCATTTTTTTTTTGCCACTGTTCAACCGGTGGCTGGGCATTACGTCATTTTCTCTAATACTGGCTGGTCATTACGTCATTTTTCTACCACCGTTCAACAGGTGAATGGGCATTATGTCATTTTTTCTACCACTGTTCAACCGGTGACTGACCATTACGTCATATTTATCTACCACTGTTCAACTGGTGGCTGGGCATTACGTCATTTTTCTCTACCACCGGGTTAAAAGGTTTAATTAGTCATCTTTTGATCCCTACACAAGTTGAAATTTGTTTGAATTATTGGTATTTTCGGAAATGCTCAAAATTGCCTTTCTGATTATAGCCTTTAGTTCAGAAATAACAAGCTGGCGACAAAAGATAACCAGGAAAAATATGGGAACCTGCTAAAAATAGCAGACACAATCTGCGAGACGCTAGTGCTGTTTAATGGCCATTAACATGACAAATTTTCAGATGAGTTCCATTCTTCAGTTCCACCAGTTCATTATTCTTAATTCCTCGGTATTGTGATTTTACTAAAAAGTGTCTGGCCATTTTGTGTAATGGGCCCCCACGTAGGCACTTCGCTGAATATTTTAATCTTTTTTATCTATCCTTCTTATACTCATAATATTCACTACTTACCGCCTCTTCTTTCAGTCATAACTCATTCATTAGAACCATTTTAACAGTAACTTTCTACCTTGAGTGGCTCCCAAGCCTTGTACTATTATATCTAGTATAAAATATCCTGGATATTTCTCCACGTCCTCAAGCGACATAGCACATTATGATTTCACTTTAACCATTTTACTTACGAAGAATTATTTTAAAATAATGACAATATCAATTCAGCATTATCACATTTACTTAGAATTATTCAGCATTATCAGAATTCAGTAGTTCAGATTTTCCAGAAATCTGAGAATAATAATACACAAAATGGTTTGGTTTGGTTTTACGGCATATCGATCTAAGTGGATTATTTAATACCGACAAAATTTTTTGTTGCTAGTAATATTTTTTTTCAAAAAGGGTCTCTGGTAATATTTTTCTTTTCTAATGTATAGCTACTAATATTTTTTAATGTAATGCTAGTAACATATTGTTTTAAAATGTTTCGCTGGTAATAATGTATTGGTGGTAATAATTTTTTCTACAAAATTTATTGCTTGCAATAATTCTTTACAAAAGTGTATTGCTGGTATTAAAACCCATTTTTACACTTTCATAGTGTTTTGACCCCAGTTTGGGGGTTAACTATTTGCCCATAGCCGGAACAGCAGCAATTAAGACGTAGTTCCATGCTTCTCAAAACCTCCTGATCAGAGGCCTTGCTGTCGGATGTAGTTTATCATCTTACCCAGGACGCGGATGTCGTTTATCGTCATACCCAGGGCGGGACACAAAATGGGATTTTGACGTTTTTAAATCATTATTATATTATTGACATAGAAATTTTGTGTGTTATATTTGAGAAGGATTTATTCTGTTTTCAAACAGTGTGTGGTTACTTTCCAACCAACTTATCTATCAGACCGTCCACAAACGAACGCTTAGGACCCTTTTTTCCAACCACTCTAGTCATTTATATTTCAGCCCAGTTCTTCCTTTCTAATGTCGGTGTCGTCTCTGAGTTGATTGGTGAAATTTCTTGTTGATCTACCTCTTGACCTCTTCCAATAATTTGGATCACATCGTTTCAGCTGATGAATAATTTGCTTATTTCTGCAGTAATTACTATCACCAGGTCGAGCACGCTTGGCATTTCGTGACACGATGCATCCATCCATTCGTGTCGTTCATTTCATTTGAAAACTCATCTAGTCTGCATCCCGTCTCTTCAATCAAATGGTCAATGTGTATCATATTTGGTCGACCTTCTTTTTTCCCCATGGAATGGTATCCAGAGTAGAACGTCTCCAGCTAGTTCTTATTTGCCAAAAGTAACAAGCAAATCTTAGTCTTTGTTGGCGTACTGATTTGCTGATGGGCGGTATGTTGCCATAGAGTTATTTCTTTGTTAGCCGATCTTTCCAGGATTTGTTTAGTGCTGCTCGAAGCATACGTGTGAAAGCACCATCTAACCTCTTTCCAGTTTGGCCGTTAGTGCCCAGGTTAAGGAGCTATATACAAGTACGAACTCCACTGTAGCTCTGAAAAAGTTTCTCTACAGTTTTTCCGGTAGATTTGATTACAAGATTTTGTTTATTTCATTGAGCGCTTCCCAGGTTTTTCCCAGTCAGATGTTGACATTAATCTCGGCAGTAGCAATATAGCTACCCAGATACGGAACAAATAAAACGCCTTTGACAGTTTGGGATTTTTGGTAGGTTTCTATATTGTTCTTCACTGCTTATATGTTGCCTCCGACACATTAGGACGAGGAAACATGTTCTGTTTGTGAGAGCTTCATTTTGGGAGACTTTAACGCATGCGTCTATCTACACCAACAAACCGACGAGAAAAGGACAGAGTTTCATGACCAATGTCGGGAGGGAGATAAAAGAGAGAAAAAGAGGTTAGTGCTTTTCTTTTTCGTACGTAATGTTTATTTTTGGCCACGAAAATAAACTTTTCATTTCCGCAACATACGTTTTGGGGGATGTTGCATATTCCTAGGCATGGGCGAAATATATTTATTATCAGATTTTTTTTTTTACTTCATTTTAAGAGGCCGAAAATTTCTATTTTGTAAAAGAAAACAAAAAAAAAACGAAGACAACCAAATGGACAGATGGAAGAAACAACAAACTCTGTCGAGGATACATTTTGGTGCCATTCTTCATGGTTAAATAAAGTGGATTTTATTTACCAATATGAAACATAAGTAGGCATATATATATATATATATATATATATATATATATATATATATATAT